TTCCCTGCTTCCTGGCTGACACTGGTTGAGCAATTTCTCTGTCACGTCTTCCACCATGCCATTTCTGTTTTGGAGCCAACTCATCAGTAGACAAGCCATGAGCCAAAAATAGACCTCTCTTCCTTTAAATTGCTGGTTTTGGAAATTTTGTCCCAGTAAAGTGATGGATACAGTCATCGCTATTTAAAAGCAATTAAAGACTAACACAGAGGTGCTGGAAGACTGTAGTAGTTTTCAGTCTCCTGCGTTGTCTGACCACCTTTTCTTGCTCTACAGCAGCACCTCCAAGTGCACACTCCGATGCAGAGGTCACACCTTCCGGCTGGCTCTCCTTTCACCGCCTCCCCATACTCCCACCTCCAGCAGCCAGCTATGCCTGTTTCCCAGGTTCCCTTGAAAGCCCCAATGTTTTTCCCAGGTTAAATGTATCAGAGAGCTGGTTACTAATTTTCTCTGATCTTCCACCTCCCTTTTCTTTACTTCTCAGCTTCTCCCAGTTAGGTAAGATTTTTTTCCCCCTAAAATAAATCACTATATTACTCATAATGGTTCTGGTATTTTAAGTGAATCTTGTTATTATCCCTCAGGCTGAAAAATCAAGGTTTTAAAACAGAAAATCTACAAATTTTAAAATTGGATGATTCTGTGCTTTTCTACTTTTCTCCCCTTTTCCCTCCCTGCCTCCCTCTCCCTCCCTGTCTCTTTCTCTCCCTCTATCTCCCTCTCCCTCTCTTCTCTCTCTCTCTCTCTCACACACACACAGAAAACATCACAAAGAAAAAAATTTGAGTAATGTATTTGAGAAAAGAAAATGAAAAATGTTATAAAATTTGCCATTTAATACTATTCAGGGAGAAAGAACCTTATTCTTTACTATCTTTTTATATCTTTTATCTATAATACTTATTCAAAAACAAAAAATTATACTACAGCCATGTTTATACTTCTGTTAAGATTACTTGTCAGAACTGAACTGCATTCAAACTAAAACTTCATTAGACCTAAAATTTCTCATCTTAATTTAAACCAATGTGTCTCAAAAATATTTAACCCAGTCATTTATTATTTAGTGCTACTTAATAATCTAATCATTCAATCTTTCACTAATTAATTGATGCCTTTATTTAGTATCCCAAGTACCACATTAGATGCTGAGTATTCAAAGTGAATAAACATGCTACACCTTAAACATCTGACCTGTAAACCTACTGCTTCTTACATTATAATGCTCCCTTTCTCCTAGCGTACATAAGCCATAGAAGCCAACTCAGAAACAATGTATTCTGTGAAATCTTCCCTAAGACCTTGCAGTCTTAATCATTTACTTCTCCCTTTAAATTTTGTACTTTGAACCTAAGTCAATTTTGCAATAATTTATTGTTTCGTTTATGTGTCTATTGTATCTATTAGCCTAAGATCTTCTTATGTCTATGGAACATGCTTATCCTTATCTGCATGTGGCTTTTCCGAAAATCCAAGTGTATCATAGTATTTTCCTCAAGGCATTCTAATGTCACTTAAGTAGTCTTTCCCTTTGGATGCTTAACTTGCTAAAGGACAGGGACATACTAAAAATTACTTATTTTGTTCCTCCAGGGTAAAAGACCTTCAATGGTATTTATTAGATCTTGAAAAATCACTATTAATTTTGGGAAGGACAATAAAACTATTCAATGGGAAAAGAATAATCTCTAGTAAATGATACTGCGACAATGAGATATCCACATGTAAAAGAATGAAGTTGGCTGAATGTTACCTTGTACTGTATTAAAAACAAAACACAAAATATAAACAAATAAAAAAACTCCACAAAACTGTAAAAGTTACACAAAAAATCAAAATGGATCAATGATCTAAAGAACAGAGGAAAACCATAAAACTCTTAGAATAGGAGTAAATTTTTATGTCTTTAGTGTTGGCAATAAATTCTTAGATATAGTATCAAAAGTATGGGGAAAAAACAAGAAAACAAATTAGACTATTAAAATAATCTGTATATCAAAGGAAATTATCAATAAAATAAGATCATTTCTAAATCATATATCTGTTCAGGGTATACTATCTAAAATAAATACAAATTCTTATAACTTAGCAACAAAAACAGAAGCAGCTTATTACAAAATGGCCAAAAAACCTAAATAAACTTTGTTCCAAAAAATTTTACACAAATACACACATACACAATTAACATATGACAAGTGACTCAACACCACAAATCATTACAGAAATATAAATTAAAACCACAAGAAAATTGAGTTTTATTTATTTTTTGTTCATTGTTGGTGGTTTAAAAACACTTCCCCCATGTAACTGTTGTGAGCACCTTGCTGTGTGTTGTCACTGTAAACATTTGAGGGGTGGAACAGGAAGGAAAGTACAATAGTCCTAACAGTCCTAACATCCTTGGCATTTGTTCAGAGCAGTGTGAAGAATGCAATGCTCTTTTGTAAGAAACATTTTATGATTTTTAAAATAAATTTAGTCAACCTATTTTGGTGGTCATTTTTTTTTTTTTAATGAAGACAGTCAATTTTCAAATGGTGGCTGAATTTTCCAACGCATCCCTAAACTAAACATTAAGTTTGATTTTTGCTCCTCTGTTGTAAATAAGTACATACAGGAAAAATATAGTGGCAAATTCAGTTTCAGTGATTTCTTGACAGTTTCAGTCACTGCTTGGAAAGATGTTTCATCATATATATCATGCTTAAAATAAGCTGGAGGATTGTGTTTTTTAAAAAATTTTTTGCAAATGCTTGCTCCTACTTTTCAGTGGTTTTCTGTTAGTAGCTGTAAGCAAGGTAAACAGAAGCACTACAAAGCACTACAAAGTGAAAAAAATAAGTATATTCCAGAAGCCTAATTGTCAGTGGATTTTATTAAAATAAAGCTTGGTTATGGATGTGGCAGATGTTGAATAAATTCTAATTACTTTTATTACATTTCTCACCTACACACTTACTGAACTGCCAATCTTCTAGTGTCTATTAAACTTTACATAAATATGTGTGTATATGTTTTTCCATTATATATAAATTGCAAGAAAAAGATGTACCATTTGTCTGTTGTATATTGGATTATGTAGGAAATGTTTGGAAACTATCTAAAAACAAGTTGAAAAACATTCTTATGGATGTTTGTGTAGTATCCTGGCATTTGTATTGATGGTTTAAAGTTCCACTGCACAATAAAACTCATATGACGCTAGGAAAAAAAAAAAAAAAAAACCAATAAGGTACATTTTCATACCCAATAGGTTGGTATTAACAACAACAAAAAAAGAAAGATAACAAGTGTTGTCAAGAAGGAATAGAGATCCTTAATGTTTATAGGTAAAGACTGATGTGGAGGTGTGTCATCCAGGTTTCTCTTTCGAAGAGAAATACACATCTCCAGCTGCCAGGCAAGTTACCCAGTGATAGTTCAATAGCTGTATCCTTCTCCCAAAACTGACGTTGGGTGATGTGAATGCTGCATCTCATTCTCCCCCTCCTTTTTCTTTTTTTTCTTTTCCAGGATGGGAGATAGAACACATTGGTGCTCTGTCACTGAACTACATCACTGGCACTTTTATTTATTTATTTTTTGAGTTAGGATCTTGCAAAATTGCCTAAGATATCGACAAACTTGTGATTCTCCTGCCTCAGTCTTGCACTGGAATTAGAGGTATGTGCCGTAGCACACAACTCAGCAGTGCATGCTTCTTCAAAGAAATTATTCTTCTTGGGCCAGGGATTTAGCTTAGCGACATAAGCACCTGCCTTGCAAGTACACAGTCGTGAGTTCAATCCCTGGTACCAAAAAAAAAAAAAAAAGAAATTATTCTTCTCAGAAGCACATTTGATCACTTGTCAGTGAAAGGCAATAAGAATAATTTCATATCATGACAGTGTTATGTGTTAGGGACAGAATAGTGATGATCTTGATCATCATGTCCCAGACGATTATACAGATAATTAGAATAAAATATATTAAATAATATTATAGAAATGCATACAAGGGGAATCTAACTTAGATTTCTGACAGTCTACGGAAAGAAACTCAAGAAAATATGATGTTAACTTGATAATTGGGAAGAGGAAGCAAGTGAAAAAGATAGGTTAGGTCTATGAAGCAGAACCTTACAAGTCACATTAAGGAGTATCTAGGTCTCAGTTTCATCACGTATAGCCAGGGAAAAATAATAGTTATTACCGCTTGCATTATTGTGAAATATAAGTAAGCTAAAGAGATAAACATTATATAATCCATTATTTCTGTCATTATTATTCCTAAGATATGGACAAAAATAGGATTTTGGTAAAAGAACAGACTCAAAGCAATAAGCATTTTAAAACATATATAACAAAGAGTGCACATGACCTTTTAAAGAAATCTTACCAACAAACACCACAATGTATTATAATCAAGAAATGCTACTAAGCCTATCTTGTAGAATCAGTAGAAAAAGATAAAAAAATTAATATTTTTGTAGATTATAACAGACCTTTAGATTTACAATGACTAGTATATTCTCTTCAGTAAACAAGTATAGTTATTTTTCTGATAAGAACTATAAATAGCTTGGGTAGGACTGCAGTGGCTTTCTATAAATCTTAACAGCTCACATTCAGGACTCCTTTCCTTAAAAATGTTTTCTGTGAACAAAGCTGCTTCTAATTAAGAGAATGGTGGGGGGAGGGCTAGAAACTTGCTGTGGCTCCTATTCTAACTTAAACACAACAGATCTTGAGAAAATACATGAATATATTCTTTAGCCTCAAGTGTATCTTTTGATCAAATAGCAAGCTTAAAACGAAGACTACTGTCAGAACCCTCAATTTATAATTGCACTGTAACAGTGGTAAAACTATCAGGTTTCCAATTAAACTTCCTGAGCTGAAATTAAGGAATATATGTTATGTTTAGAGTGAAAAGCAAAAGCAATACCAAAACAGTCACCAAGTTTTTCTTCTGATAATGAAATATTACAGAGTAGGAAAAGCTTCTCAATTTCTTACCTGCTCGCCATATTCCACTCAAGAGCTGGATTTTGAGAATTCCTTTCATTCTCTGTTAGCACTCCTCCTGTGGTATTTTCCTTCTCTGGTTTTAGTTGATCCCACTGAGCAGTACCAATATTGATGGACTGTAAGTCTATTTGGTATTGTCTATCTTCAATTTCTGATCCAGGATCTCGAAGAATTCCTAAGTTCAATGCTCTCCTGTAAAGGAAATGAGAAAAGGTAACCAGATCAACATTCTGTATTACTTTTCTAGCTAATATAGTATCACTAATTTTTCTTTCTTTTTTGCTTATACTGTGGGTTGAAGTTAGGGTCTTTGTGCTGAGCTACATTTTTACTATTTATTTTGAGACGGTGATGGTGTCTAATTAACTTGTTAAACTGCCCAAGCTGAGCTCAATCTAGCAACCCACATGCCTCAGCCTCCTAGAGTGCTGAGATTATAGGTATATGCCAGCATGCTCCTCTGCTATCATTACTTTTTTGATTACTAATTTAAAATGTGGGCTAATTACATTATAAGTAGGAGGAGACTATTATATTATGTGTAATCTAAAACTTATCTATGCTATAATGACTTAATAATTTGCAGTGCTTTACTTTCTAAGGACATTTACATGTCATTGACATGTTTTCAGGTTCTACTATGTTCATTTTTACCAAACAGAAAACCAGCCAGTTAAAAGCAAAGTTACAAAGCTAATGTGTGACAAAACTACAATTTAAATTCATGTGTTCCCTGCCTCCCAACTAATCCACTTTCTATGGTAATCATTCACCTTCCTCAGAACTTTCTACATTGTTAGAAGAGGTGATGGCCTACAATTAGCATTTTGTGTCTCAAATATGTTATGAAAAAAATGTCAATCTAGATAGGGTTGTCCCAGAAAGGCAGTGAGTCAGAGGATAGGCAAGGCAAAGGTAAAAGAAAATTCTCTTGGGAAGAATTTCAACTTAAGAATTCTCCCAAAATAGTTCCAAATGCAATGAGAAACCCAGACACAAAACTTACAACTCATACATGATACTAAACTAAGGGACCTTTAGTGAGACAAAGTACAACTGTTATGAGAAGAAACAGCCCCTCAAAGATCGTGAAAAAAGTAGATAAGCAGAAATCTGTTTAAAAAGTTAAAAAAAAAAAAAAAAAGACCCGGGATCACTAAGTTGGTGGAGTGGTAAGCAGTAGAGAAAGAGCCTCTCTGACAGTTGCCATCTAGACATTGCAATATAACAATGTGAGGAAAATAAGAAGGAAAGTGGGTCCTCTGGACGCAGGAAGGATTTGAAGCATCAGTTGAAGCTGACAGAGACAATGAAGAAAGAAACTCTAACAAAGAAGAAGGCTGCCAGTAGTGCCTTCTCCCTGAAAAGGGGCTCACTGTGTGAAAGGAGCAGGTCAAACTTTTGGACACAAAGTGATGGCTGACAACCCTAAAGGTCTTGAGCAGTGAAGGGGAGCAGCAGATGTGAAGGACTGATGATGAGTGATGAAAGCTCAGTCTCAAGTGAGAGAGTAATTGGCTGAGAGCCATCCAGGAGAGGGCCTAACTGAACTCAAAACTCAGAGCTGCTGCCAGCTCCATCTAGTGGCTTCCAGATGGGCTCAGGCCTGCAGAAGATGCAGATAGCTGCAGGCCTAATGAGTCTGCTCTTAGCCAGAAGGTCCAGGCTCACCGGGATTATCCACTACCCCACCAAAGTTACTGCTGGTTTGTTGGGATAGACTGGCACAAGATTGAGACTCTGTTTCTACACGCTGTCTACTAAAAGCAGAGACAAACCTAAAAGTAGATTCTTTTTTCTTTTCTTTTCTCTCTACTTTCTGTTGTGGTGACAGTGGGTTTTCTTTTCCTTCATTATTGGATTTTGTTTGTATACGAGTGCAAACATGGTTTCTAGGCCCTTTGAGGTTGAGGTTCTATTGTGTTCTTCTTTTTCTCTGTTCCTTCTGTCTCTCTCTCCAACCTGCTTCAACAATTTCCCAAAGTTAGCATGATCCCTCTTTGTCCTCAGTCTTACTTCTGATTTCCTCTTCTTCTTCCACTTCTCTATTTTCTCCTTATCCTATTTTAAATTTTAACCCGAGGGTAAAATTGACATATGAAAAACTTGTATACTGCATATAATTTTCTGGATTGTTTTACTTATATGGTAAAAAGTGTCAAATTAATGGTTAGCTAACTTTGTAACTTTCTAGGCTGTATTTGATGCTATTAGCACCACTATAGCCAAAAGTGACACGGTTGTTCTAAACAGCAGTTCTTCCTGGTATTCCATGACTGAGATTTACTAAGTGTCACAGAAAATACTGTGCCACACTGCCAAAGAATCAGGGACTAGGCCAAACAAACAGCAACTTCTCATCTTCAACAAATTGAAGAGACAGGATCTTGCAACAGACTCAAAAACCAGATATACCTGGGTGGATACCTTGGCAAAGTAGTCATTACATAAGGGTTCTAAATACTAGCAATGAAGCAACCCACCAAGGCAACTTAAAAACACTGCATCATGAGTTAAACTGACAAAAGAAAAGAAAATGAGAAGACACTTAAAAAAGATGAAAGTCCCAGACATCTAGTTCATCATAGGCAAACCTAGGGGACAATGAGGTGAAACAATCCAAAAGCCTCCCACTTGACCTCTCTGAAGTGGTAACAACAAAGTAATTAAATGCAGCTCTGGAAAAACATCAAATCATAAATAATTTCTCAATAGCAGAGATGGTGTTCATAATGAAGATGATGCTCAATGACTCTACATCAAAGACAGACAAAATAAAAATAAATGACCTTAAAAAAATTATGGAAGCCATGAATGCTCAGCATAGGAAACAAATTTGAATCTATAAGGCAGATGCAAGCAGATGTCCAGGAGAATAAAAATTCCATTGAAAGTATTCACTGCATATTAAGTCTATCTGAGGACAGAATCTCAGATATAAAAGAGAGGAGGCTCCTGGAGGAGCAAGTCAGGCTGGCTCCCCTCATATAAAATCAGCTATTACCAGAGGAGCTCGGGATCTTGTTGCTGAGAAGGCTGCAGTCCACTTAGGGGGAGCTCCTTTCTTTGAGCATTCAATCTCTAGAATTTGTGATGCAGGCTTCCTGATAGGTACTCAGCTGTTCTCATCATTGGAGAAGCTCAGGACCTGATTGTTGTTGAGGATGGCTGTAGTACTTTTTAGGGGAGCCCTGGTCCTCATTTTGAACAATAAAGGAACCCACCACAGGAGCTCCATGGTTTCACTGAAGAACCCTTAACCTACTTGCAAAGATCTTTCACCCCACTGGCATAAACTTGGTAGCTTCCACTGCTGACCTTTGGGTCTTCCCAGGAGAGATCTGTGAAATGGACTTGCATGAGTCATTATTGTGCCCTAGGTTTTAATCTGAACTCATGCAGGTTATTGCCATGGGATTCAGGCTCTCAGCTGGACTTCCTAGGTCTTTAGTGTTGTGGACAAATTCCTTGCACTTTTTTTTGTATTTGACTCCTTGGGGGACCATTATAAATAGTACTATAAAAATCTTGTATCCCATATTGTCTTGCTCTCTTTGCAGTTCCTAACTACAACAACAGTGAACCTCAAACTTCTAGAAAAAGAACAGGTTAAGCCAAAAGTTTATATAAACTAGTAAATTATAGAGATCAGAACAAAAATTAATGCATTGGAGTCTAAAAAAAAATAAAAAGAATCAATGAATTGAAGAGTTGGTTTGTGAAAGATTAAATAAAAGACAAACTCTTATCCAACCTTATCAAAAAAAGGAAAGAAAATATTCAAATCCACGCAATTAGGAATGAAAAGGGTGAAATCACAGCAGATCCTGCAGAAATACAGGAAATACAAATAATCTATACATACTTTGAAAATTTGTATTCCAGCAAGATGGAAAATACAGAAGAAATGAAACGATTCCTAGATGCATATGAATTACCAAAAGTGAATCAAGAAAATATAAAAATCAAAAATAAACCAATATCAAGCAATAAAATCAAAGATGTAATTAAAAACCTATCAACAAGGAAAAACTCAGGCCCCGATGTCTCCATAGCTTAATTCTACAAGAAATTTAGAGAAGATGTAAAAACCACTACTTCTCAAATTCTTGAATGAAGCTGAAAGGGAAGCAATACTCCCAAATTCATTTCAGGAAGCAAGCATTATCCTGATACCAAAACAAGAGAAAGAACCAACTAAGAAAGAGAATTAAACACCAATCTTCCTAATGAATATAGATGCAAAAATTTTCAATAAGATGCTAGCAAACAGAATGCAGCAAATCATCAAGAAGATTATATACCACAACCAAATGGGATTCATCTTGGGGATGCCGGGATGGTTTAACATACATAAACCAATAAATGTAATATACCACATTAAAAGAGCCAAAGACAGAAATCATATGATCATCTCAATAGATGCAGAAAAAGCTTCTGATAAAGTCCAGCACCCATTCATGATAAAAACCCTACAGAGGATTAGAATAGTCTATCTCAATCTGATAAAAGCTATCTATGACAAGCCAACAGCCAACATCATACTACATGGACAAACACTGAAAGCTTTTTCCTCTAAAATAAAAAGGAGACAAAGATCTCCACTGTCTCCACTCTTATTCAACATAGTTCTAGAAACTTTAGCCAGAACAATTAGACAAGAGAAAGAAATTAAAGGGATAATGATAGGAAAGGAAGAAGTTAAATTATCATTATTTGCAGATGACGTGATACTTTACAGAGAAGATCCCAAAAGCTCCACCAAAAGATTTCTGTATTTAATAACCAAATTCAGTAACATAATTAGATACAAAATCAACACTCAAAAATCAATAGTGTTCTTCAACAATAACAAACTCACTAAAAGAGATATTAGGGAAATAACATCTTGTGCAATAGCATAAAAAATGAAATACCTTGGAATCAATCTAAGGAAGGATGTAAAAGACTTTTACATTGAAAGCTATATTACTCTGTAAAAGGAGAATGAAGAGGGTATAAGAAAATGAAAAGACAACCCTAGATGTTGGGTAGGAAGAACAACTATAGTGAAAATGGCAATTCTTCCAAAACTGTTATACAGATTTAATGCAATTATGATCAAAATTCCAATAGTATATGCCACAGAATTAGAGAAAACAATCCTAAAATTCATCTGGAACCAGAAGAGACCTAGAACAGCAAAGGAAATT